TTAATATTTCCTTAAAAAGGATTACAATGGGGCACATCTAATTTTCGTTAAAATATCTGAATCTTCGAACATTTCAAAAGTTAGAAATAATGCAAGAAAGTATGTGATGGAGCACCACTAGTATTTTCTTCTATAACGTCTAGAAGAGGAACAGGTCCTGCACTTGCACCCGACGTCAAAACCTTAGCTCGCCAGTCGGCCGTGAGAATTCCAATGCCCTCGCTCTTCCCATTACACTAACGATCCCCGAGTCTACAACGCTTCGAGTCTTGGAAATACGCATAAAGTTCGGCAATAAATGTCTTTCTGTCGAAAATCGCCAATTTCCGGCGCACGATTACAATACCTTCTCTTTTAAGGCAAGAAACATACGTAGCTAATGCTACATACGTAGTATAGGAAAATGAATGTAATGCTGCATTGAAAACGGCAGTTTTTCGGCAGAGATCAAGAGGCCCCTGATACAGAAAAATTGGTTTATTGCAAAACATCTGTCCGTCCGTCCTTCCGTCCGTCAGTCAGTCGTGATCAACTCTAGCGGCTAAACCGTAAGCAGGATTTTCGCCATTATTGATATCTTCCAATCGATCTGGCTAATGGTGCAGCCCCTTTAATTTGAAAAGGAAATTTTAATTTCTTTACATGAAGCTTCAAAAATACTCTTGTACAATGTTTTGCAATTGTAATTGAAACATGGCTCAACAGTTTTGGATCATTTTTTTAAAATTAGATATTGCAATGCACACTTACAAAAATTGCGCGGGTCTGGTGTTTTTTTAAATTATCTGAATTGACGGATTTTTTTCTGAGTTTTCCTTTCTTTTTTTAAATTCATTTCTTCTCGTTCGATCTATGGTCTTTCAAGGGATTTCGGTTTTACATGCAGACTTTTTTGGGATTTAGGTATTCCTTGAAAAATTGTGGTTACATACTCTGGTTCATTTAATTCATTCATTTTCTTCAAGAAGCTACTGAAATTTAATCATTAAATCTTAATATTTTGGGGGAAGGGGGCATAAACTGTTAGAATTGCCTTGTCAAGCAATGGGAAGGGAAATGGGAAAGATTATACTGAGATACGGGAAGGTATTATTAGTTTAGGAAGGTTTAAGCATATATTTGGGAAACTTAGATTTGATTCGACTTGGGATGTTTGCTGTTCGGCCTAGGTGGAATTTCAGAGCGGGATGAGATGAGGGAAGGGAAGAATAGAACTTATTTGCTACTCTTTTTATATGTTCTAGCACGGTTTCCATTTGGACTTCTCTGTGAATTTGATGGTTAGGTATAAACCATGGAGCTTTAATTGACTTCCTAAGCACTTTATTTTGGACTATTTGCATTTTAATGCAAGTTAGTATGGGTAGGATAACAGATTTATATAATAGAATCTGGCATTTGGTATTGAGTGTTGAATGTTGATTTATAAAAGGGTATAGTTTTGATATTTTGGTATTGGATTTGTTGATAGCTGTGTGAATATGGCGTTTCCAGGAAAGTTTCTTGTCTAACAATACTCCAAGATATTTTATTGGTTCGCTTTTCCAAGGTATTTCACTGTCGTCTATTTTCAGATGGGGGGATTTTGAGGTCTCCTAAGAGTAAATATCTGGCATTTTTAAGGATTGATTGCGATTCTCCATTTTTTTGTCCATTGCTTTAGGATGTTAAGATTATTCTGGACTCTATTATATACCAGGTTAATATCTGAACTTGCTAAAAACAGTGCGGTATCGTCAGCAAAAAGAGCAGTTTCCACGTTGGAATATTTGGGTATGTCACTCACGAAAATATTAAATAAAATAGGTGTGAGAACTGAGCCCTGAGGAACTCCGTCTGTGATATTACGAAGAGTGATTACTTTTGACCTAAAATTTTCTATCAGAGATAAAGCCTTTAATAATATTCTGAATATACTCAGGGACTCCGAGTTGTCTTGTTTTAAATAACAGATCGGTATGCCAAACTCTGTCGTACGCTTGTGCAATATCTAGAAATGTGGCTAGAGTTGTTTGTTTTTTTTCTCTTGGAAGCGCTGTGCAATATACTCAGTAATCCTTATCAGCTGGTGTGTGCAGGAGTGATTTTCTCTGAAACCAAATTGAATATCAGGAATTGCTTCCGTGTGTCAGGTATTTGTTAAGTCTCTTTAATAGAAGCCTCTCAGAAATGTTAGAAATTGCAGTAGGGAAGTAGTTAAATCGTAAGATGGCATTAAATATTGCAGTTAGTCCTACTACAGAGCTATATGTAGATTTTTGAGCATCTTATTTCTGATTCCATTAATACCGGGTGATTTTCGTTGTTTTAAATTTTTTATGATATTGACCGATTCAGATGGTGAAATAAACTTTATTTTAGTTCCGGTTGTAATTAATGGTTGTTTCATAAAATTTACAATATCATTGTTATGTTGTATTATTGTTGGAGGGTGAGGTCTAAATACATTTTGCAAATGATCTGCTATCGCTTTGGCCAAATCAACATCTTCAGCAGCGGCGATGGTGTAATGATTAGCGTATCGGACTGTTATACCGAAGTTGGCGAGTTCAAACGCAATCGACGCCGTGGATTTGTAAGGGAGAAAAAAATCTTCGTACGTCTTCCTTCGGAGGGGAAGTAAAGCCGGCTGTCCCATGTTTACTTTACCCAGATTTATTTACAAGTAAAAAAGATCCTCAAGTAGTCGTGGTCGTGGTCGTGGCCATGGTCGTGGTCGTGGTCGTGGTCGTGGTCGTATTGTTATTATTACTATTAACGCTACTGTTTACTTCTATTCCTATTGATTCTAAGTTCGATGATAAAACGCAATACTTGGCTGCACTCGACGTTTTTTGCTACTATTAGTGCTACGTCACGTGATGCTTTGTTGGTAATTCGGTCGTCTCTGAAAATTCTAAATCCTGAAATGTGAAACTTTTCTCCTGGAATTAGATGGGTTTCGGCTACACAAGCTATTTCTATTTCATGTTTCTTTAAAAAATATCTAAATTCATTTTCTTGGCGTTTCAGTTCATTGGCATTCCAGTTTGAAAAATTAAGTAATCCTTTAAGTAAAGATAGAGCTAAATACATTGAATAACGTGACATAAATGCCATTTTATGTATTTTTTGATTTTTAATATTTTTCTCTTTTTTTTTAAATATCGCCTCTTCCTGTTTTTCGTTCGGCGACCCGATTCGGGCTATGGCCGACCAGCCATGGTCCGGCCTCTCAGCCATGGGAAAACAGGGTCCTTTGGTTAGCATGAAGACATTCCTCCACCGTGTATATTGGTTTTCTGAACCTTAGGGTGGTCTTTCTCGTCGTCACTCAAGGACATTTTCCGGGACTTGGACACTTGTAAGGAAAGCCTACAGTTATAATTTTGCACCGACCGAGAATCGAACACGGGTTTGCGCCGTGGAAAGCGAGCACGCGAACCAACAAGCCGAGAGCTGTGAAAAATATCTTACATGGTTACTATTTACATCATGGGCAGTTTTGAATTTGTAAGTACAAGTGTTTCAAATAATTTCTTATGAAGTTTCACGAAAACTCAAACGTTTTCTGTGAAAATGTGCACAAAATTGCGCGTTTTCAGAAACACTCAAACGATTTTTTTAAAAAAAAGGCTCCAAATTTTCCATTGAAAATTTGCATACAGGAGAAGGTATAATTCTTCTTTAATATTTTAAAGTCAAAACGTTAAGAAAATGTGAAAAATATGTCGTTTAGTTGCCGATTAGTTGGAGCTTGTAAAATGGTGGGACAACCGTTTTGGCATTTTACTATTTTGGCCTCAGAGCATAAAATCTCGTTGAAAATTTTTGAGAGTGTGTGTGTGTGTGTATGTGTGTGAGTGTGTAAATTTCCGATTTCGTCGCAGTCTGTATGCCACCGGCAATTTGTGAGCATTTTAAAGACTCAAAGCACTGTTGTTGTCTCTGGAGATCAGAAGCGCCATTTGTAGACAGATCTCTGCATTTCTGAAGGGCTGCTGAAGGGCTAAGGTTCTGCGGCCACAAATTGGCCGCAATTGCAGGATCGCGCGCGTTACAGAACTACCGTTATTTGCATCCCAATTCCGTCAATTCACTAATTTGCATTTTTCTTTGTTAATACCAGAAAAATAATAGATTATTTCTGCTACAATACTTAATACTACCCTTCGAGTTTCACTCACTATAATCACTCGAGACTCACTATAAGCATAACCATGTGGACGTTGCAGAACGAGAGATATCTTCCAGAAACTGACATGTAAAAACAAAGCGTTTCTCATCAAAATGACAAAAGAAACATTTGTTTATCCACTTGATGAGATACAACGGTAATATGCGGGTGGTATGTCTTGTAACCGCCTAAAACGTCTCACTTGTATGTATATTAGTATATATTTCAGCGTTTTACTGTATATATTGTTCTATCAATTCTTTTTTCGTGTGTTGTGCTTCATTTGTTTATTTGGCAACAATTGATTGTAATAAACCTTTGTTTTTACAATTTTGTCAATATTTAAACATTAATAATAATATCTTATAGTATTTGTTTATGTAATACAAAAATGCAAATACATATATATATATATATATATATATATTATATATATTATATATATATGATAAAACATAAGATTCAACTGCATTAATGTGTAGGCGCGATTGTAACTTCATGTTGGTGTTTATGGCAGATTTTCCATCACTCGCCTTCACATTTAATGTATGATTAAAGCCGATATTGGAAGTTGCTCTTCCTTGTAGAAACATCATGATCATCCAGCAACGTGGACCAGAATGAACAAGAGAACTTAGGGCCGTAAGCGTTTGTTCTTAGTGATGAGTCATTTGGGCTATATCCCCGTGTTTCCTGAATCGAGCGTTGACTTTTTTATTTTTAGCCCGCGGGAGCTGCGCTACGCCTCCCCGCCGAGCTATCCCGCTGCTCATCCCCGCCGCGCAACGCAGGGAGGGAGGGCCCCCGCAATCTGCCCCCGCGCAGCCGTCAGGCGCCGGGCAACCGGCGGTCGCCACACGGGGTATTGATCTCGAGAAGGCTGCTTCGTGGAAGGGCTGGAGCGCCATTTTCCTGTGATTTAAGTTTCATCGCGCATGTGAACTAAACCTCCCAAAACACGCAGAGCGCTGGATGTGCTGTGTCCTGTTTAAAGCAGTATGCCAATTAGAGCGACCAGGCGTGGCGTATTCGAAAGAAGTGTCCGCATGACCCACGACCGCGCGCAATGCGCTCTGTCGAAATCCGTGTTTTGGTAGGTCGGTTCCTAGGTCAAGGTCATGAGTGTATGGATCTGCGGGGCGTCAAGAAGCACGGTGGATGTTGAGAGACAACTGGGGCAGCTGTGATCGCTGGGACATTGTGTGAAACTCGTGTCTCCGGCGACAGCGGACGAATGCAGGGGGATGCAAGGCTTGTGGGGTTATGAAAGTATCGTGGATTCGCCTGAAAGGCTGCAATTCCAAATGATCTCATTCACGCTTGATCCCCAGTGGTGTGGCCTTTTGTTTTCCATTTACTGTCGCCATGAAAAAACCAGCGTCTTAGGGCCAGATACGTTCAGCACTTGTACGCTTACTGGACCACCGTTGGATGCAGACTGGATTGCATTCGCCGGCAGTATTGGTGTAGAAATATGTCGCCTCTCATCAAGCTGGGCACTCATCTTCGAGACAGGTGAGGAGCCAAGCACAGTTGATCTGACCCTTCGTGGCGAAAGAACTAATTTGGGAATCATGAGTAAAAGGGACTTACCCAACTCACTCATGAATTTGGAATTTCTCCTTTCCAGCGTACTTTTTTGCCTACCTCAATACTTTTTCTGTAGCTTTATTTGCGTTCAAACGCTGAGGAAATTGTTTTGTAGTCAAGTTAATTTCACGATAACCTTAGAGAAATGCCCATTTATTTAAATTAAATACTCATTTACACATCTGAATGTCGCAGTCTCCTGTTCAGTATCATTGCCGGTATCCAATATTTTTTGTCCCTGCGTATTAACACAATTTCGCGCTTTTTTGTACTGGTATCCGAAGGTAAAATGTTATGGTATGCTTTGCGTAACGGATAGCTTTGATTTCGTGGGAACGGCCCTTGGAGTAGTAGGCATCTTACTCTTAGTGACGATTAAAAGGGGGCATTGTTCATTGTGAAGTAACTTAGCTTATGTCTATTATTTCTGGTAATCATTAAACAATTTTAATTTTCTAGAATGTTAGAAATTGTTTGATTCAGTCTTTTATTTTATTTTTTATGTATTCATTTATTTTGTTAGAGATTTTTTTCTGCAAATTGTTAATGAATATAAGCAGTAATAAACAAGGTAGATTAAAATACCTTGATTGTAGGCCATATGAAGAAAATAAGTTGTTGAGGTATTATTTGAATTCTATGAATTGTTTATTTCTTTATCCTGCAATCAAGATACCTCCCATTACCCACATAAGAATCAAAATGAAGAAAACTGACACATGTGAAAATTACCAGTAAGTTTATTGAAGAAATGATGATCTCTGAAATACATGTTCATAGATTGCCATAATTTGCTATTGTTCATGTGGTTGAGTGGGTAATATCTTGTTATTTCAGACTTAGATTTTGAGATGCTCAATCTGAAATAAAGATAGTCTTGATGGAAACAGAGCAAGATAATTTCTAAAATTCAGTTATATATTATGATAATTTTGTATTTTTGTTAATATAAATTTAAACTAGTTCTTAGTATGAAGTATTGCCCTCTTTAGATGAATGCAAAATATCTCCATAATACTTTTTAATCTATTTAATATTTTTAAATCTTCTTCCTCTTCATTAATCACAATTATTTTCTCTGGTTCTTTTTGAAATACATACATTAAAATATATGTTCTCCGGAAGAAAATGAAAAATCAGTTTATTCAGAATTGTAAACAATAACAGTCACAAATAGTTCTCAGCATCTCTTGATACTATAATGTCACAGTTCACAAGGGAAATTGCACCCATGGAGAAGCCTCTACTTCTGAAGAGTTTTCCAGGTTTTGGTGCTTGCAGTGTTCCCGGGAGAGGCGAACATCGAGTGAGCTATTAGGGCACCTCATAGTTTTGTGTGCAGTGTTTGAAGTTTTTATAATGGAATAGAATTGTATCAAAGATTATTATAATAATTATAAATTATATTTATTATTATAATATTATATATTATAATTTGTAAATTACTACCTAATATTTTCTTAATTTTTGTTTCAGTAAAAGCAAGTGGAGTTATCCTCTTACTAGGAGTTGGAAGCTTGGTGTGCTACAAATTATACCACTATTATTGGCCAGGTTCTCGCTCACGACTTAATTCTCCTAATTCTTCTCCACCTCATTCTCGATATGGTGAAAATTTAATTTTGTATCATGTTCGAGATGATAACCAATTGGTGGAAGACCTTGATGATGAGGATATCAGCAGTATTGAGGTAAATATACATCTAAATGTAAAAGTTTTGTAAATTATTGGTTTCCTGACTAGCTTAACAACATGTTTTAGGGTCGATACTTTGGACCTGCACCAGTTCCTAGCAAAAGTAGTTTACAACATGGAATTGACGTAGCTAACTTTCTGAGAAAAAGCAGATTTTTCTCAATTATTCCTTCAGCTTCACATTTTAAGGTAGGCCGCATTATATGTGTAACTTGTATTATTTTAATACTTAATATTATTTATATGATAAATACAAAACACTGTAAACTTCTTGAACATACTAAATTGCTTCTCTGATATTGCATCTTACTTCTAGATGATGATTAGTTATTCAATATTTAATTTTTCCTAAATTTTTAATATTTTCTATAATTTTATGTCATTAGAAGATATCTTTTGATCCCGAATTATTTTATTACACATTGTATTTCCAATTTTGTGCTTAGTAATTGTACATTAAGAATTTTTAAAAAAAATCTATTTCCCTTGTACTTTGAAATTTAAGAAATGAAAATACTGTTTCTGTGTACTGTTTTTTAAATATGTTGTATTTTTATCAGGTATTTATAAAAATATTGTTATTTTTTCATGATGTATACAATAATACTATTCTGATCAAAAGAATCATTTTTAGAGCAGACCTGAGGACTGTGATAATCCAAAGGACAGTATCGGTTATATAATTTAGTTTGTTTGCATAGTTGTAGTGAAAACACACACCTTATGGTTCAAAAAATTATAATATTGGGAAAATAGTATTTCTTTGTAGTTATTTTTAACAATAAGTAGGTCATCTAAAAATTATGTTTGTGCAAGGGTTGTTTGGTATGAATATGGGAAAAACATGGAAAAAAATCGAGTTCAAATCCAATGCACTTATTATGTTCTACAAGACCAAACTTCAAAAAATATATATTTGTTGTTTTTTTGTTAAAATCACGTATTTTCATCTGAACCAAATAATGTATGCCATTTGTCTACACTGATAAGAGATAAAATTATTTTAAAATTTAATCAGGCTTTAACATTTTCTTTATTTTGATTCTATGGCACCATAATAACATTCATTATTATTAAAATAAGGAAAAATATTTAAAAAGGTGAGAACATTATGAATCTTACTGCCCTAAACACTGCAAAGTTTGGAAAAAAGGGAAAAGTTTAGAAAATT